GATTGATGATGATGATGATAGTGTGGTGTGGGGTGGTGGTGATGATAATGATGATGACGATGACGATAACGATAACGATAACGATGACGATGATGATGATGACGATGATGGTGGTGGTGATGATGGTGATGATGATGATGATGATGATGATGATGATGATGATGATTATGATGAAGATGATGGTGGTGATGCTAATGGTAGTGATGATGAGGGTGATAATGTTGAAGATGCTGGTGGTTATATTGATAATGGTGGTGATGGTGATAATGATAATGATGCTGATGAAAATTATAGTGATGATTATGATGGTAATGATGCTGATGAAAATTATAGTGATAATTATGATGATAATGAAGATATTCATAATGCGATGATAACGGTAAAAACAATGGTAAATGATGATATTTTTGTGCTCACCGACACTCCTTCGCACTCAATGACTTTGTTGATAATACAAATTAATATATACATACAAATCAGTAATGATACTAACAATATCATAAGTACAATGAGAACGTTACGACAATAACCTGCCTTTCCATTCCAAACGAGGAAAATCACCTCATCAGGTTTCCATGGTAACGGGCGCCATGCTGTCCCCTTCGCCTTGAGCAGAATTTCACGATCCTACCTTTCTGTCCCACAGTTTTCGAGACATACGCCAAGCCATTGAAGAATTGAGGTGGTTGTAAGCAAAGCACCAGCTGAGGGGGGAGGGTGGGTCTCCCATGTGGTTATATCTTTTCATTTATCTGTGTGCCTCCCTAAACTTTCCGAGCGAAAATTGTTACAACAATAAAAACAATAACAACAACAACAGTAATAACAAGCATCAATAAATCAAGATGTTTTTGGATCACTTCTCGCAAACGTCGCCTCGTGAAAGCGCGCATTGTCTGGCACGCAAAAATAGGACGAAGCAAAACGAACACAAACCAAATTCTCTGAAAGAAAACGAAGCTCCGGCCTTGCCTCGGGCGGGTAGGACTCAGTGCTGACAACGCTGGCCGAATGCAGCTGCTTGTAACGCCTCGTTTGCGGGAGCCACGGCATATCGTTTCCGTTCCTTCGTCGCTGAAATCCAGTTACACCCAAAAGTTGTTATCTGTTCGGATCATATAGTACTTGTAGTGTCGGGAGAACACTTTATATTATCTTTTGACACCACGTTTCCGCACGCGACTGTCAACACTGCGCGAGGCGGCTCACTGACACTGTCGGGGCGTTGCCTCCACATGCCTCCCTTTCACGCCTTTTCGCCCCTTGCAAACGCTCTATCTCCTCCACAGCCAGGCCGAAAGCACTTTCCCAGCGCTCACTCTCCCGCCTGAAACGAAATCGCCAGGTAACACTCACCGATAATGGCCAGAGAGCGACTTCAAGAGGAAGAGAGATAAGTCCGTGCGCTGTCCGTCCCGCCGCCGCGTTCTACTCAAACCCCGAGTCTGACTCTTTCTTGGCTCTTGACTCCGACCAGCAGCGGACGCGAGACACGGATGCCAAACAGCTCCACAGGCTAGCTCGTGGCTCAGTTGCACTTCGGTGGAGGACACTTCTCTCCTCTTCTCTCCCTCTTCCCCCTTCGCCCTTCTCCTCTCACTCCCATTCACCGCTTCGCCCTCTCCTCTCCCACGCTTTCCCCTTCTTCCCATCCTCTCTCCATCCTCCCCTTTCCCATGCCCTCTTCTCGTGGCCCAGTTTCACATTGACACTCGACAGAAGCCGCAGGTGGCTGGAATTCGGTCTCGAAAAATACTGTTCCTCTGGAGACATTGAAATTGGTGTCGTCTATCTCTTTTCTTTGTTTACAGTTGTTTCAGTGTTATTTTTTGCAGT